TATGTTCTAATGTAATTCTGAGCATGGCATATATGTATTTTATGTCATTTTAGGCCTTCAAATATCTTGATATATCATGTGACATAGTCCCTCCTAGTTGAACAATCTAGGCTGCTCCACCCATATTTCATGAAGTATAACACCCCTGAACACATCTTTTAATAAACCGTAACAGAAAATACTTGTAAATACAGATTTCCCTCCCTTAATGCAAACTTACTTCTATGCAATGAAATAAATCAGTATCAACCATTAGAAAATTATAGCAATTACTAGTTTTTTTCTTTACAATATATAATTATATTATTTTTAAAGGGGTAGACCGGTAAGCCAGCGGAAGGCCTCGGTCAGATGACCAAAGCTCCAAAGGCGGGTCATCATCTGACTAAGACCCGCGTCAGGAAACACTTGTCCTGTTTCCTGACGAACCTTACCTAACCTAACCTAAATAGTGTTTGTATTTTTAAGAAACTTAGAGGAACAGAAAAAATACAACTTTTTCTCAGTCCATTAGATTTTTGTTGTCTGTACTGAAACTTTCGTCAACAAAGCTTATTTACAATTCATCAGTCTAATAAAACCTTGAAACTAAAGTTAAATGATTATTATTATATTTATGGGGGAGCACTGGTCCTGTGTCATAGAGCATCGGGAGAATGGGGGGGAGGGGTTAATCAGTAGGAAAAACTAGTGAATGAATGAATGAATTTTTTGAACACTTGCCTGACAACATATTTGCATGAGCAAAGGTTTGCAGAACTTTCAACAATTAAAATAAACATAAGTAAATAATAGTAATGAACTCTTGTATTCTGCTTACGGGACTGACAAAAATACTGTAAACCCAAACACTGAAGTACATACTGTACTGTATCATCATTGAACGAACAAGCCCATTTACATTAAATAATTTAACACAATATAATTTATATTTTTGAAGCATTCTGCTTTGCTTCGCTTTGCTTTCATTCAACATACTCTATGTAAGAATGATCAATACATAAATTTTCAGTTATCATACCTACCATATTAGTGAAGACATTAAAATTCAGGGTAACATTCATGAAAGGATCCTGGGAAACTGGTTTGCCAGACTTTGAATCCTAGAGGTGGGAAGTACAGTGCCTGCACTCTGAAGGAAGGGTGGGGGATATTTGCAGTTTTTAACTGTAGTATCAGTGCACCTCTGCCAAGACAGTGATGAAGTGAATGGTGAAAGTGTTTCTTCTTTTTTGGGTCATCCTCCCTCAGTGGGAGATGGCCAGTGTTGAAAAAAACAATCAGTTGATATGACCATCTAAACTGCACCATTCCTTTCTCCACAAAGTACAGGCACTGCACTGTACTTTCCATGTCATGAAGTCAAGCCTGGCCAACCGAGTTCCCTAAAAACCTTCAGAAATGTTACCCTGCTCACACTCCAACAGTACGTCAAGTCCAAAAACCACTTGTCTCCAATCACACCCCCACCTAACAAGCTCACATACATCTGCTAGATTCTGAAACCCATATCCAAGACACCTTCACCCTCCCTCCAACCCTTCTTAAGATTTCATATGAATTAATATTATATTAATTTCCAACTTTTTTTTTTTATTAACACACTGGCCGTTTCTCACCAAGGCAGGGTGGCCCGAAAGAGAAAAACTTTCATCATCACTGACTTGCCAGAGGCATACTTACACTACAGTTATAAAACTGCAACATTAACACCTCTCCTTCAAAGTGCCGCTACTGTACTTCCCATCTTCAGGAATCGAGTCCGGCCTGCCAGTTTCTCTGAATCCCTTCGTAATTGTTACCTTACTTACACTCCAACAGCACGTAAAGTCCTAAAAAACCATTTATCTCCATTTGCTCCTATCTAACATGCTCATGCATGCTTACTGGAAGTCCAAGCCCCTCGCACACAAAACCTCCTTTACCCCCTCCCTCCAACCTTTCCTAGGCCGACCCCTACCCTGCCTTCCCTCCACTACAAATTTATACTCTCTTGAAGTCATTCTGTTTCGTTCCATCCTCTCTACATGTCCAAACCATCTTAATAACCCCTCCTCAGCCCTCTGGATAATAGTTTTGGTAATCTCACACCTCCCTCTAATCTCCAAACTATGAATTCTCTGCATTATATTCACACCACACACTGCCCTCAGACATGACATCTCCACTGCCTCCAGCATTCTCCTTGTTGCAACATTTACAACCCATGCCTCACACCCATACAAGAGCACTGGTATAACTATACTCTCATACATTCCCCTCTTTGCTTTCATGGCTAAAGTACTTTGTCTCCACAGACTCCTCAGTGCACCACTCACTTTTTTCCCCTCGTTAATTCTACGATTCAGTGACCCATCTGCTGACACATCCACTCCCAAATATCTGAACACATTCACCTCCTCCATACTCTCTCCCTCCAATCTGATGTCCAATCTTCTGTTACCTAATATTTTTGTCATTCTCATCACCTTACTTTTCCTATGAATATAATTTCCAACTACACTGGAACCTCTACTTGCGAGCGCATCCACGTGCGAGTTTTTCCAAATACGAGCAGTCGATGGGTCGATTCTTTGTTTCCATACGTGAGCAAAATTTCCATAAGCGAGCAGACCTCAAGGCAGGTTCCTTGACGCTGGTGAGGGGCTCTTGCTCTTGATCTAGGGAATTGTATCTCATTTGTTTGTTGGACTATCTTATTGAAACTTGGGCAATGTATGATGGAAAGATGCTTCTTAACGTACACCAAAAATGAAAGAAATCTAAGTATATAAATAATAGAGTTCACTTCTCAGCAATTAGCCACCCCTTAGCGGTATTTTCGTATGGTTTCTATGGTTGTATTCTCGTTTTCTTGGTCTCATTTGATAGAATGGAAGATATATTACAGAAATAGATATGATTTTGATTGATTTTACGACGAAAAGTACCTTGAAATTAACCCCAACACAGGAGAAATGTTCGATTGTTTTGGGTATGTTCAAGAGTAAACAAATGATATCACTGTTCATTCCAATATGCAGTCGTGAATGGGATGACATTATTTATACAATTACGTATTGCAATAAGGCATAACAGTAAATCTTATATTTTTTGTGTGAATAAAAATTACAAATTATTTATTTTGTAATAATAATAAAAATAATAATATGTATAATAATAATAGTACATATTATAGTACAATAAGAATAATAATATAATACAATAAGAATAATAATATAACACAATAAGAATAATAATATACATGTAGTATGTATAATAATAATACGTATATAATAATAATGTACTACATAATAATAATTATAATAATAGACAGCTTCAAAAGGCCGTCACTAGATGGCAGTGTTTACCATAACATAGAGGGAGCGGTTGTGGCCGCCTCCACCTGTTACATAATGAAGTATTTTATTTATTCTAGAGTATATACCAGGTTTCTGTGTTATTTATATTGTTTATTATTTCATATTAGATGAACTGTGATAGATAAATAAGCCATAGAGTTGATGATAGCGAAATATTCAAGGAGTATTTTGTCCTGTCTCCAGACAAACTCTCGTGGGCCGCCGCCGCCGCCACATATATAATGACATATTTTATTCATTCTAGAGTATATATCAGGTTTCTATGTTATTTACATTGTTTGTTATGTCATATTAGATGAACTGTGATAGATAAATAAGCTGTAGAGTTGATGATAGCAAAATATTCAAGAAATATTTTGTCCTGTCTCCAGACACTCTTCGGCCGCCGCCGCCACATATATAATGACATATTTTATTCATCTAGAGTATATATTAGGTTTCTATGTTATTTATATTGTCATATTAGATGAACTGTGATAGATAAATAAGCCGTATAGATGATATCAGCAAAATTATTCAAGAAGTATTTTGTCCGGTGTCCAGACAAACTCTTGTCCACCACCGACACCGCCCATACCGCTACATGAATTACATATTTTATTCATTTTAGAGTATATACATGTATATCAGGTTTCTATGTTATTTATATTGTTTATTATGTCATATTAGATGAAGTGAGATAGATAAATAAGCCTTAGAGTTGATATTAGCGAAATTATTGAAGCACAGAATTCCACTGGAACGGATTAATTGCATTTCAATTAATTTAAATAAGGAAAATTGACTCTGCAAACGAGCAAATCCAGTTGCGAGCAAGGTCATGGAACGGATTAAACTCGCAAGTAGAGGTTCCACTGTATAAGCATTTTATGTATGTTTGTGAATAAATAAGGTTACAAAAATGCGTGTTATCAGATGAAAAGAATTATTAACATGAAAAACTTGAAGAGTACCAGTATTCAGGACCACTCTGATCAGCTCATCTCCAAGTCTCAACCCAGCCTGGTTGGACTTGTCATTTCAGAAGAGCCTTTATCACTGGAAAAGAGATCATGAGTACGTGTATATCAAAAGATTAGCCTAACTCCACTGGAGATAATATGTGCCTTTACCAAGTCATTTTTGGAATGCTTTCTCTTTACAAATAGACATTCAAGATATAAGGTAACCTGACTATATAATAGCTCTGGTTTCTAAAACTCACAGGCCAGTGCGTTAACCACTCGGCCAACTGGCTCTAATATGATTCATTGAACTAGGAATACCATAGCCACACTGGTGTGGAATTCATCTATAAAAACCTCCATTTGTGGTTACAGTGGGCCCCATGCTACCCTCCCTATGGTGTATAGAAATATTCCTAGTTGGATGAATCTTATTAGAGCCAGCTGGTTCAGTGGTTAAATAGCTGGCCTACGAGTTTTAAGCCTTGCTTGCCATGGTTCAATCCCCACCCATTCCGTGATTTGTTTGCAACTGTTACCAAGATTTTACGAGTTAATTTTACCCTGTATGTAATTCCTTAATATCAAATAAAGCACAGTATTTACATCTGTAAAACTAATTCTACGACATTTATAAACACATCATCTTGAAGACAAGCAAACAGAAAATTAATCTCTTAAAACTCTCGCTTACATTGAAACAGAATGTTGTACTGGTAGTGGGGAGGAAGGTCACCTGAGCTGTGGCATCAATTCACTTTATGGGAAAAAGCTTCTAGAGAATGTGTTATGGTGACTGTTTCCTTCTTTGGGTCACCCTGCCCTGATGGAATACAGCCATATTAATGTACAGTGCAAAGCTGTATCATGGAAAACCATCAACAAAATCACCTAATTTATCATCCTAGTCTTCCTTGGCTATATAATAACTAGTTCAGGTGAAAGATAATTAACACACTCATGTGTTTCCACATATTTTACTGCACAATCTCAACTTTCCATTTTAGACAAAAAGAAATATTTAAATACTTCTGGCCTTTTTTTTTTTTCTATTAACCCATCAGCGGTTTCCCACCAAGGCAAACCAAGGGGTTACCAGCCCATTGCTCACGGTATTTTGGTCACCTTTCATGACACGCATCGCGTATGGAGGAAAAGATTCTTCTGGCTTTACTATGAAAGCACTTAACCTTCAATTGGTTACTATTTCATGTAGGGATTTTCATTTTCTCAAACCTCATTTTATTTGACCACTACTTCTGTACAAAATTATAAATTTGATTTAAAAAAAAAATTAGTTTAAATCAAATTTATAATTTTGTACAGAAGTAGTGGTCAAATAAAATAAAATGTGGAGCAAGCAAGAATATTCACAAAATATACTTACTGCAGGAAATTTCAGTTAGGGTACACTTACAGCACATAACAAAGGAAGATGTTTTCGAGAAAATTGGATCATTTCCTACAAGTGCTTGATCAGTTAGGGGTATGGGATATTTGCAATGTAGTTTGATTGGTGAAACAGTCAACAAGGAATTCTAGCCTTATTATGGGCTGAGATAATAGAAAAACTTGAAGTAAGTCACAGGAATACCACAGTATAAGTTAAACAAAGCTAAAACTTTCTCTCAGAGCATAAATTAAGGCCAACCAATTGCACTGTGCATTATAGTATGAAATTATCAGCCAAACTGGTTGGTAACTGGTGGGTATTGTATTCTCAGCTATGCTGCTTATTAGTTTCCCACCAGATGTTGGTTTGTTAAGTTTATGGCTTATAAACTACACAAAGGTCATTAGTGCCTCAGTTCTTCACTTGTTTCCTTATGCAAAGTCCTTAAGCCAAGCTAAATGATTACTCGCAGTATACTGAAGTTATATTTCTGTTCTATTATTACTGTACAGTATTCTCTCTTGTGTTAACTAAAGGAAAACATTATGATCTTGTTAGTATAAACTGCTATTAGATTGTGATTGTTTTGAACATCACAACACATATTTCCAAGACCATACTTTTGCCTTGATACTTGCCCTATTCTTGAGTTTAATTTATAAAATCCCAATTTTATAGCACAATCCAATAGTATAATTAAATACAGCCTCTCCTCACTTGACGATGTACTCGTTTACCGATAACTCAGACTTACGATGGGCTCTCTGACCAGTATGCATACCTAAATAATATATATTAGAGCTGATTTCCTCTATTCTCTGTGTGTGGGTTATTTATGCATTGTTCCAGTCATGGTATTGTGCCATTTTATTCTTTTTGGTTCACAACCTAAGTACTGTACCCTGGTTTTTTCCTAGGCAAGTTGAGATGTACATATTATAATCACCTGCTGCCCCTGGTCACCTAAAAGAAAATGGGCACCCGGGTGTTAGTTGACTTGTTGGTCGCATCCAAAGGTACAGGACCTGGGTTAATGTGTGTTCTAATGATGATTTATTGAATAAGATGTACCTTTTAACACAAAATGCCTAGGCAGCTAACTAGAAGTTTAACTGGAAACATTGTTGGAGTTCCAGAGTAGCTAACCATTCATAATTAAATACATATCACTGCATTGGAAACCTCAGGTAACATTTTTTACCTGCCAACTTTTTGTGTAAGCCACACCAAAGGTGTTCATAAATAAAAATGTCACAATCAGTCTACCTACAAATCAACACATTGTTTATTCTTTAACCCTTTCAGGGTTTCGAACATACTAGTACGGCTTACGCACCAGGGTTTTTGACGTACTAGTACGCCTAAATTCTAGCGCCCTCAAATCTAGTGAGAGAAAGCTGGTAGGCCTACATATGAAAGAATGGGTCTATGTGGTCAGTGTGCGCAGTATAAAAAAAAATCCTGCAGCACACAGTGCGTAATGAGAAAAAAAAACTGACTGTGTTTTTGGATTAAAACAGCGACTTTGCACTGTATTTTCGTATGGTATTTATTGTTGTATTCTAGTTTTCCTGGTCTCATTTTATAGAATGGATGACATATTACAGAAATTGAGATGATTTTGACTGGTTTTACAATGAAAAGTACCTTGAAATTGAGCTCAAAGTAGCAGAAATGTTCGATTTTTACCAAAGTTCAAAAGTAAACAAATCATGCTACGTGTCCAATACATGTCAACTGGTGAGTCTAATATTCTTTCACAAGTGCGCTGATATTATTTATACCATTTCTACACTAATGCAGTAGTCTGCACAACAGTAAATCTTCTATTTTTTTGTGAGAATAAAAATTCAAAGTGGAAAGCAAAAGAATGTAAGAGGGGGGTGGGGATGTGACTAATGAACAGAGGAAATGTTATTTTAGTGCCAGGAATGTCTTTCTTGTTTATTCTGGACCCTATTCGGAAATTGGCATCTTTTGAAATTTGTGTGAAATTGGCAAAATTGCTAAATTCTGACCACTTTATTGGATAGTTGAAATCAATAAATGGGTGGTTTCTTATACTCATTCGATAGAAAAAATGGAGTTCTAGCAAAATAGTTATGATTTTTGTCGACTAGTACACTGGAATTGGCCGAAAATAGGGCTTGAAGTGGGCAAAATCGCCGATGCGTAAACATCGTCGAGACCACTAACTTCGCGAGAGCATAATTCCGTAAGTTTTCCATCAAATTTCATACTTTTGGTGTCATTATGATCAGGAAAAGATTCTCTATCTTTTCGTAAAAAAAATTTTTTTTTTTTTTAAATTTGGCGACCCTGAGAACAAGTCTCGAAGAGGGTCTGGCAACCCTGAAAGGGTTAATAAACTGAGACAAGGCTACAGATTTCACCTGTCCAATATATTGTTTATACAGTACATGATTATTATACTTGTGGAGGTGCTCAACCTGTAGGGCAGAGGTCGGTAAATGTTTTTGTGTATTACCCCATAACAAATTTGTGCACTGCAAAATTACCCACTGGACTAAAAAATTATTTGTTTGAAAAAATGTAACTCATAATTTCCCTTGCAGTTTTATTTAAATTTATTAATGCTTCATTACCCCCCAAGATTTTAATTTTTACCCCATTTGGGGTAATTTACCCCTGTTCCCTGACCTCTGCTGTAGGGGGTCATGCAATATGGTAAATGAGAGGCAATCAAATTTAGGCTAAGAAGGAAAGTATGTGTGTATTCCAATTGCCTGGATCACTAGCCCTTCACTGGTAATCATGGCACCCTCCTTAAGAGTTTAAATATGCTGAAACCTCAATTGAAATCACTAACAGGTAGTAATGTGTGTCCAGTAATGCCAACTGACCATTAAATATGAGAAATGTGTTTAGTCTTAAGGACAATTCTGTAACCAAGGGAGTTTGTCTGTTGTTTCTTGAATCAGTTTACAATACTCAGCAGATTGTAATAATATGGACAATTCTGTAATCAACAAACTTTATCTGTTGTTTCCAAATCAATTATCCAGAAAACTGTAACAATAACAAATAATTCCATCAGACTTTGTCAGTTTTTTTAAATAATTTTATCTGACACTCTTGTCCTGTTATTTCTAAAATTAGTTAAATGAAGATTTTACTGTATTAAAAGATATCCTTTATGTTCATTCACAATACATTTGCTCCTCTCAACTTAACAATTTTATAATTATACACTGTAATCTAATGTTGCTAACTTCCAGTTACAGTAATCATTAAAGAAATAACAACAGTATATCAAATTCAACCCTACACTGAAATTCACAAAATTTTTAAAGACATTAATCTTAACAGCAACAGATGCTTAGAGTATTCTTTAATACATCTTCATATTTAATGGCTTCCACTGCAAAAGCCTCTTAACCAAGCATATTTCCAAACAATCTCCAAGTTATGGTGTTCATTAATTTACTTGCATAAAATATCATTTTTATGTTTGCATATTCTTGAAGTTAATATACAGAAAAAATCAAGGACATATTATTATTATATAAATATACATACCATAATATTCTATATCACTCTTTCCCCCCCGTTAAAATGATTCCATTTCAGCTCATCAGTTGTTAAGCTTTATAATACTTCTTTTGAAAACAAATGTAGTTTGAGCAAAAATTTCTTAAATGATATGATTACGAAAGCAACCGAACCTTCAGTTCTCCTCTCTATACAGTTCTCTTATTGTTTACATATATGCCTCAGTGTAGAGGAAACCTAATGTATCTCATGATCCATTATTCAACATCAGCAGTACAGTACACATACTTAGTATTTATGCAACATCTGAAAATGAAGTGAGGATGGTCAGAAAACCAAGTATCATAGTTTAATCTGTTAACAATACTGCCAGTGATCTTGCAAGAATTGAATAAGGCAGGGAAATAGTCAGATGGCCAACCACCAAAGACAGATCAGAAAGTCCCAAGCCACAGAACATGGATGTCAACAGTGCAATACTTGTGTAGTACATATTCTAATAGTTCCATTTACAGGCAGGCCCCCATGCCAAGTGTTAGTCACATGACCCCCATTGGCACTACAAACAATATATACTATGCAAGTATTGCACTGCTGACATGGAGAGGAATCTATCAAATCCATTGCCGAGCCCGGGGGACCACGTCCCCCAGCCAGGCCCTGAGGTAAATAAATCCAAACTTGTTTGGTGGCCACTAAAATAGCTAGGAACCAAGCAAAATAAGATTTATGTGTACTATAAATGCAGTCTTAAGTAAGTTTGGCAATGTTGCTTGGGTAGCACCATAGTCAAGTCTTGAAATTCAATTTCAAACTTGGCACCTAATATTTTTTGCAAAATGTTTAAAAGACTGTTGAAAGATTATTTAAAAGATAATAGTTCTGCCACCCAAACTGAGGTGGGCATATCAATAAACTGAAATTAGCCCTTAAACTGTCCAAACGTAGATCTACGTTTTTTCAACATTTGAAAGTAGTATGTAAAAAAATGTACTTTTTTTTTTTTTTTACATTTGAAAACGTGTAAAAAAACTTTGATCTACATTTTTTTTCTTACATTTGAAAATATGTAAAAAACATAGATCTACTTTTGGAGCACTACGCATGCGAAGGAAGATCTGTCTGGACAGTTTAAGGGTTAAGATGTTACCTACAGATTGTAGTTTAAATAGAACATCAACTTGGGAACCAATGGGTACAGACAATTAGTACTGTATTATGCAGTGTATGAAATATGTCTTGGATGATTTAACTAAGCTCACAAGCAAGTCTGCCCCTCCCCCCAAAAAAAAAAATGTACATACTGTACTGTACAGTAAACCCCAACTTAAACTATATAATTTGCAACAAAATTTGCTTACTTCATCAATTAAAAAATGAACAAAGTTCACAGGCTGTGAATTTGTCAGTTACTATTACTATCACTGCAAAACAATCTCATCCCTATCCACCAGTTTCCATTACCGGCCAACTGCTCTCCGTTAGTCCATTAAATCAATGATTTACTTGATTTTTATTAAGGTATTTTCTGTAAATTTATTGAGATTAACCCTTTCACTGTCGGTGTCATACTAGTACAGCTAACAAGTCAGTGTTGGTGCTGCATTAATACGCCAAAATTCTAGCAGCTTCAAATCTACCGGGAGAAACCTGGTGGACCTTCATGTGAGACAATGGGTCTGTGTGGTGTGTGCGCAGTATAAAAAAAAATCCTGCAGCATGCAGTGCATGAGAAAAAAAAAACTTTTTGGTTTAAAACGCCGACTTTGAGGTGTATTTTTGTATGGTATTTGTGGTTGTATTCTTGGTTCTTGGTCTCATTTGACAGAATGGAAGATATATTACAGAAATAGAGATGATTTCCATTGGTTTCACGATGAAAAGTACCTTGAAATTGAACTCAGAGTAGCGGAAATGTTCGATTTTTGTCAATGTTCAAGAGTAAACAATACGTGTCCAACTGGCCAGTCTAATAAGCAGTCACGAATGGGTTGACATTATTTATACAATTATTACAACAATGCAGTAGTCTGCATAACAGTAAATCTTCCATTTTTTGTGTGAATAAAAATTAAAAATAGAAAGCAAGAGTAATATAAGAGGGACTTGGAGACATGACTAATGAACAGAGTAAATGTTATTTTAGCGCCAGAAATGTCTGCATTGTTTATTCTTGACCCTATTTTGAAATTGGCATCCTTTGAAATTTGCGTGAAATTTGGCCAAATTGCCAATTTCTGACCATTTTATTGGGTAGCTGAAACGGTAAATGGGCAGTTTCTTGTACTCAGTCGATAGAAGAAATGGAGTTCTAGTGAAACAGCCATGAGTTTGGTTGACTGGAACAATGGAATTGGCCGAAAATAGGGGTCAGAGTGGGAGAAATCGCCGATGCGTATATATCGCTGAGACCGCTAATTTCACGAGTGTAATTCCGGAAGTTTTCCATCGAATTTCATACTTTTGGTGCCATTACCATCGGAAAAAGATTCTCTATCATTTCATAAGATAATTTTCTTTTTTAAACCCTTCGACATTGATAGCAAGTTTGTGAATAGAGGTCTTGACAGTGAAAGGGTTAAACATTTATATTTACTTGCTAAGGCTAATTTAAGAAAACAAAAAAGTTTTAAACTTGACATTTTCATAAATAGTGCTTCATTATCTAGCTTCTTATTTAATTACATACATAAATTTTCTTACAAAGTACCTAATGTCAATTCCTTAACACTAATGTAAACTAACAAACACCTTTAAGTAAAGCTAGGTTACATAAACCTATAAGCAAACCTATTAAACCACAACTAAGTAAATTAAAGAAACCACAATTAAAAAAAAAATGGCTGAAACACGTCTGGCAACACAGTGGTCAAGCATAACCAGGAAACTCTTAAATCTGCACGATTATCACGTGCTGCAAGAACAGGTTTCACATTAGGTAGCAAGCTGGCTTGCAACCTTTACTACTAATGACCACTTGGTGGTTTAAACTACTTTACCAGTGCTACATTATCATCTCAATAAACTAATTTGCTCAAATTACCAGTATTTTCATTATCTACTGCTGCTTTCCTGATGACTTCCAGATTGTATATAAAGCAATAATTATTAACAAACTAATGTTCTTCAGTGAAGGTTTGTAAAGGTATTTAGTGCATTACTACTAAATTCAGAAGGTGGGTAGCTCATGCTCAAAGTATAGAGATCACATTCATATATTGTACCACCTGACATTATTATTACATTATATTCACAAGAAAGTGCTAAACCAGACCTGATTTGTAATGGGAGGTAACAACAGATAAAATTTCCACAGTGCAACACTGTACACTGGTTTGGCAGTGTGTGTAGATAACTAAATATTAAGAAAAAAATCTGCTTTAAGATCTGACTCTTAGTGATAACATACAAAATGATCAACACTGTGTAACATTACTGTAATGTTATGCTCCATCTGTTACATAATTTTTTTGAGATAAAGTGGGTTCATGCCTTTCTTGTATGAATGCATTTTCAAAGCTATTTATGTTAATATTTGGTGCCATTTCATGATGGAATATTAACAGCCTGACAAAAAATATTCTTTAGATTTATTTTGACAAATGTGAAACTACATAAGTGAATTTTTAACCAATAATGTTTTCCAACATTAAAAAATTAAAAATGGAATAATTTAATTAACAAAAAAAAAAAAAAAAAAAAAAAATCAGGAGAAAAGATACTGCATGTGATGAAATGTTTAGAATTCTATTTTTTAAATTCAATTAATATAAAACTTAAACACTATTTAAAAGAATTTCTGATCTGAAGTTCCACAATTCAGTTGTAATATAGGTACGGTAGTTGTAATGAAAATCTATAAAGCAATTAGGGTAAAAAATTTCATCAGGATCTTTACAGGGACACAAAAAATATACACAGGTCTATATAAAGTTCTATAAAATTCAACGACTTTACAAGATATTTTTTCAGCTGTATATTGTGAAACTTACCTACAAAATACATAAGTAGTTATTAGTCAAGTACAAAAATAATATTAAAGACATACATTAAAACCATTTGTTCAATTGTGAACAGAAAGTAAACTAGAAGATAAACAAGTTTAGAATTTAAAGCCCACAATTCTATTCACAATGGATATCTAAATAAAGTTTTTGAGATGTGGGTTAATAGTGCAACATGGAACATTTTTTTTAACATCAGCACTCCTGGCTAATGATATCAATTTACTTTAAAAAACATTACAAAGTTAATGGTAATATTGATCATAATGGCTTAATAGTGCTGTTTTGGATACCACATAGTATGAGGTACTTCTCTCTTAACATATATTTCTTGAGGCAACTGGTGATGAGCCAAATTAAGTGCTGCTCCCTCATGTAAAGCAGCCATAGCAACAGCTGCTTCTTGGTGAAGATTGCTAGTCTCATCCAAGCCTGCAGTTGCTGTTGCAGACACAATTTCTAATGGTAACATTTCATGGCGAATTAGTTGACCTTCCTGACATACAGATTCTTCTGCAAGTTCTTCTTCATGTGTTACTATATGCTTATCTAACTTTAGTGAATCACAGTGTAGTTCAGCATGTTCTAAATTCACTGAGTCTGCATCAACAACTACAGTGGGCACTTCTTCAAGCTCTTGTTTTGCCTGTATTATCGACTGTATCTGAGCTTCTTCATTTTCTCTGTGAACCTCAGCCTTAATTACATCAACTCCATTTTTTGTTTCTGCATGTTCTTCAGGTGGAGGGTTCTTCCTGCGGCCCCTCTTACCATAACGAACCTTCTTTCTAGGTCGCCCACGTGGTCTACCAGTAGACTTTTTTCTGTAAGACTTGCGACCACTGCCAAGAGGCCTACCACGCTTTCTCTTTTCACCAGTGCACCTTTTTTTATGTGAAGATAATGAAGAACTGTGTGTGAAAGCAGTCTGGCAATACTCACACACAAAAGGTTTCTCACCTGTGTGGGTACGTGCATGATTTTTCAAAGCTTGTGCAGAAGCAAATGAATTCTGGCACCGATCACATGTATAAGGTCTTTCTCCAGTATGAACTCTCATGTGACCAGGCAAATGGGAACTACGAGAAAATGTTTTTCCACATATACCACACATGTAGGGTCTTTCACCAGTATGTACACGTTTATGTAACCTCCAATTAGAGCGCTGAGCAAAAGACATACCACACTCACTACAAATGAATGGTCTTTCACCTGTGTGTAGTCTCATGTGATCTCGTAAATTTGCATTACATGAGAAAGTCTTGCCACATTCTCCACATGGCACCCGTTCACCATTTGTTGGTCGAGTACGAGGCTTTGATGGTTTTGGAGTTACTGGTGGCTCTGGAATAACAGGAGGTGGTTGAGGCTGTGGTTGATGAGCCACTATTATCTGGTGCTGGGTTTGGGTTGGAACTGCCTGTAAGTTGCCATACTGTAACTGAACCTGCTGATTAATTTGTCTTGCTATGTCAACTGTCCCTAATTCTACTTGCACTGGAGCATTTGTAGTAATAAGGCCATCAACAGGATTGTAGTTATACCACATCATACCCGAAGTGTTCTGGGAAGATTCCATTGTGCCTGGCTCTAACATTTGGCAGATGCAATGAAGTTCTGAACAAGCACCATCCGATTAATGGTCACCTTACCACATACATGTCTGCAACAAGAAAATATAATATTTATAGGTAAATGCATAAAATATTTTGAATACTGTATATACAATACGTACAACAAATAAGAGCTACAACACACCCTTCAACATGCAAAATTAATATGCTGTATATTATACACTAAACATTATTTGAAATCAGAGGACTAGTAAAGGGATTTCTCTAACAAGGAAAATATAATACAAGGGCAAGTTTAAATATTTTATTTAAACTGTTTCACAAGCATGGGATATCAGGTTGTTTTCTGATGCTGGCTTCCAATTTGCTCATTCAGGTTTAATTGTTGACACATGGTGATGCTCCTTTCAAGGCCCCTGCTCCTCTCACTTCATCTGCAAAATTAAATGAGCAGAGCTTGTTTCTGTTAAATGTCAACTTAGTAGCTATTACTCAATGCCAAATCTCTACTTGTTTACTAATTTTGCCAAGATATTTGGAGCTTTCGAGCAATACTGATTTTTGAATCTAGAATAAAATGTGCATCCTGACTTTCAAACAACCCAGATACCCCTCACTTAAAACAGTGGTATCAAAACTACGAAGAATACATACCTCAAAATTAACACTGCTAACAGGATACATCTTCCTCATTTGTAGTGATATGAAATAACTTCAAAGGCTGGGACCTGGGTTGCTGAAAACAGGACGCTTTGCGGTGGACCAGAAAAGAATGTGCACTGTATCTCACTAAGGATATGCCACATTAGAAATCGTGGCACCATAATAAATGTAGATTTTAATTACAAAATGGAATGTTTTCATATTTTGGGGACTATTTCTAGATAGTATACAATACTGAAGTTCAAGTTAAAAGCCAATGTATAAAATACAGCAAATAATTTTAAAGATGAAACTGCGAATTTACAATAAAATAACAGTATGGACAAAAATATCCATAATAAAAAATAAAGAAATATTTTCGTAGATACTGTAGAACACATGACATGCTACATCCAAGTGACTACTTTCAAGGCAGTTCATAATGAAGCAGTGTTTGTGACAATCAGCATCATAGTACCATGGAGGAGTGGGCTTCGATCTTTGCTAAGGAATGCTTAGTTCAGACTATCTCACCTTATCCCCAGATCCTATACCTATGCAGATGACTACTCCTTGGAAGGGAGGATATGCCCACTACCCTCAGGAATTTAAATCACAACTTGCAGTTATATCAACAAGGATAATGGAGGCCAGTTACATTTACTTCAACACTAATCATGATGTTATCTAGATAATATGGTTTTGTTACTGCAGACTGGGTAAGAATGAACAAGTCTTAGTGCCTGGTAATTAAGTTGATATCGTGGGAGTGAAAGGTGCCTACAAAGGATCATGTGGTAAATCTTGCCAAGGTGCATCTAGTATTTGCTCAGTATCAGAGGCTGCAAGATTACAATAAACAAGTTTGTACTCACCTTGACTATGCATCACTCTCTTGGAATGCCTACCACCACTCTTATTCCATGTCAGATTTCTGTACAAAGTAGAAAACTATGCAAAGCAGCTAATCTCTAGCCTCAAATCAACCTAGTTGGACTAGTCACTCACAAAATCATTTAATTCAACTTCAAACAAATTTTTTCTAAAAAATATACATAATTGTTACCAAACTGGGCAACTTTTAATTCATATGTTTTGTGGTTATCTCGGATAAAGCAAAAAAGTTGAGACAATCAGAAAAATCTGGACTACTGTACATATTTTTAGAAAAGTGCCAACAGCTGAAAATAAAGATGCAATGCTAAAAAAATATAGTATACTCTACATGAGAAAATCTATATAAATATGCCACATGGCCATGATGACCTGTCAAGCACTGCATAGTGGAGCTGGGCACTTAACTATGGCATGACCATAGGTGTTTTATGACTAATGTATATTCAGAAGTCTTCCACAAATAATATGAGCATGGCCAGAGGCCCATGTGATTTTACAAAAAATTGTTTGGTCAACAAGAACCAATAACTTTGCCAGCAAATACCAAAGAGTTAGGAAGAAAGGAAGAAATAACTAAAGAATCAGCAAAATACAACTGTTGTTGAAATTTACTCCAGGTATACCACTCTTTACCTGTCTAGACTTAAGTAGTCTAAGTACAGTGGACCCCCGCTTAACGATCACCTCCCAATGCGACCAATTATGCAAGTGTATTTATGTAAGTGCGTTTGTACGTGTATGTTTGGGGGTCTGAAATGGACTAATCTACTTCACAATATTCCTTATGGGAACAAATTCAGTCAGTACTGGCACCTGAACATACTTCTGGAATGAAAAAATATCGTTAACCGGGAGTCCACTGTATTAGGTTAAGTCTGCCCAAAATGCCCCAGAAAGATAGTGGCTTTCTTTGTACCAATCAAATTATGAAATGTAAACACACATTGTAACCTTTGCAAAGAAATAAACTTTTTTTTTTTTACTTAAGAGGCAACAAAGCTAATTCTGAATGCAAAATATAGTACATCAGACAGGAAGAATTGAGATAAATATCTGCAATGCACTGTAAGAAGTGGAAGTAGCAACAAACATTTGGTAACATGGTTGCAATATGATTGATAACTGTAAGCATACTGAGGGAAGTACCCCAGAAAGCATGAACAAAAATTGTAGAGGACTATCCCAAATAAATGTTGGTGTTTTATTTTAGAATTTCAATAAAGTGACTGAAGATTTTATGTAATGTTTCTTCATTACAGAAAAAAACAGTCTCAGTTTTTATGCATATATTGGTGTAATACAATAATTGGATAAATTTGTTAAGGTGCAGTTAACCTACCCTAAATAATACATGTAGAGAAACTAGCTAAAGCAATTGCGAAAAAAAATCTATGTTGCTATTTAGGCAGGCTGCCTATTGTTACAGAGGACTTCAAACCATCAACACATACAACCACCACACACAAATGAGTGTGAAGATAATGCTCTGAGAGCAGCCTATTCAGCAGATAACACTTTAGCCACCATTCCTACCCAAGGGTGCTGGCAGACATCGCGCACACACACAGTTGAAAATTTCACTGCGTCCTACAGCAAGTGCTATGCCTGAGCTGGAAACATTGGGCGTGTTTTCTTATACCTGTTGTCCCCGTTCACCTAGCAAGTAGGTACGTGGGCGTTAGTCGACTGGTGTGGGTTGCATCCTGGGGGACAAGACTGAGTACCCCAATGGAAATGATGCACTGCCATTTTGGGTTATCCTGGGTGACTAACCTCTGAGGTTAAAAATCTTATCTCTCATGAAGAATTCTGTTTTATTAGATCTATGACATTATATTCTTTAACTAACATTTTCAACTAATACAATAGCCAAGTACGTATAGCTGAATTTAGGAAAAAGCTGCCAAGCTAGCAACTTCAACGTTTGGACCGTTTAAGGGTTAAACCCTTAAACGGCCCAAACGTATATATACGTTCACTCGCGTAGCGCCCCAACTTTTTTGAGGAAAAAAAAAAAAAACAATCTTTTCTTTTAAAAGGAATAAAGAGCATATGGTACCCAGGCATCCCCAATTATTTTAATATGGCCCACAGTGAGTGCGCACACCCATTCTCTCATGTCTAGGTGACTCAGGCTTAATGTGGCAATGTTGAATGAATGACAAAGAAAACGTATATATACGTTTGGGGCGCTACGCGCGTGGACGTATATATACGTTTGGACCGTTTAAGGGTTAACTGTGGACAACACACACATGCAGGGGACTAAACTGAGCGACATACACTGTACATATAAATGCACAGTAATTTTTTGCCTTCAAATCCACCTTGTACAACCAAGTTAAGCATGAGCTCGATTGTTAGGGTCACTTACTACCTCATGCCTAGGAAGGCTGGCCCAGGTAGGTCCATGCAATGTACCATGAATGACACTACCTCAGTGGCACACACACACGCTAGTATTATAATTATTAGAATTACTCTCAGTGTTAATGGTATCTTATTAGTATTACGGATACACAGAGGTGAATTGTATTTCTGGGACATATAAACAACTGATGTGCTCACACACACGCGCGCGCACACACATGCACTCGGGGCCAGGAGCTGAGTCTCGACCCCTGAAACCACAACTAGGTGAGTACACACAGCTGATCCTTGGAATTTGACCGTGTCCCCTCACCCCCCCACACACCTTTCCCTCCCCCACAGACCTTTCCCCTCCCCGCTCTTGCCTTCACTCCCTCCTATCTTTTCCTTCCCTCGCGTTTCTCTCTCTCATAGCCTTTTTCCCTCCCCTTCCCCCTACTCACTCTCTCTCTCTCTCTCTCTCCTCTCCCTCTCTCTCTTCCTCTCTCTCCCTCACTCCCATAACCCAATCTCTCACCCTCCTCTCTCTCTATAGGCTTCTCTCTCCATCTCTCTCTCTCATAGCCTTTTCCCTCGCCCTCCTTTCTCCCTCTCTCTCTCTTTCTCTCCCTCTCCCTCTCTCTACCCTTTCTCTCCCCCCTCACATTCCTCTCTCTCCCCCTTGGTCTTATCCCTCACCCCCATACTCTCTCCTCTCTCTCCCTCTTTCTACCCTTTCTCTCTCCCCCCCCGCACCCTCTCCCTCCTCTAGCCTTCTGTCTGTGGTAATAATAATAAAAAAAAAATGGGTGGCCTTAGAGGACGGAAAACCAGAGATCTGGTAGACGAACCAGGGAGGAAAGACTGGGAGTTAGAGCTCCAAAAAAGGGAGGAAGAGTGGGGAAGGAAGATAGTAGAGCTTGGTAAGAAAATGGAGGAGCGGATAGCTGAAGAGTGCAGGAAGTGGGAAGTACAGGTCTTAACAGCAGAAGCTAGGATACAGTGCTTAGAAGAGAAACTGCAAAGCCTGAAACAGATTAGAGAGACAAATGACAATTCAGATGTGACAGCAGGAAATTCAAAGTCAGGCGCAGACAAGGGGACGGTAAGCAACAACGGAGACATGCCATACACGAAGGCCCTATCAGACCCACGTGGGGCCAGGGAAAAGACGATGAGCACACTAAGATCAAACGACAGGTCCGAAGACAATGAAGGTATGCTATATGCAGAGATTCTAACAGCCAACTGCAGTAGCAAGGGACAGCTGGTCAGGAAAAACAGTTCACTGAGAATAGAAGTTTCAGATATGACAGGGACTGAAGGCAAGAACATGTCAATGGAAGGAAATAAAATGCCTCAGAGGAAGCAGATGGAGACTCAGTGGGAGGAGGAAAGGGCGAGGTCAGTTTTTGTGTACGGGCTCCAAGAAGCCAAGGGGGACAACTTTGAAGAAATAAAACAGGAGGAGAAAAAAATGATTGAAGGCATCATGAAAACAATAGGGGAGGGCGATATGACCCAGGTGACAAATTTTCAGAGAATTGGGTGGTTTGCGAGTGGAAGGATACGGCCTGTCAGAGTAACTTTCAAGGAAGAATCAGTTCGAACCAGGATTCTGCAAGAGAAAGCAAGACTAAGGGACAAAGAGGGGTACCAGAGAGTATACCTCGACCGCGACAGAACACAAGAAGAAAGGACTACACTGAAAGAGAGGGTACAGAGACGCAAGGAGGAACGAGAAGCAACGAAAATGAGCAGGACCCAGACACAGGAGGAAGGGCAAACACACCCCACAGAATCTCCCACCAAAAGACTCCACCTGCGACATTCCCAACGCAACTGAGCAACCTATACTACAACCCACTCACTGTTCCCTCTGCCACCAACCCCCATATCACAAGCCTCACCCCAACAGCTGTCCCTTATGGGCATTCTGACCCCACCCCCATCAACACAAACCCCACCTACACCACAGCCCCATATAGGCCCCCA